GACGTAGAATCTGACGGCGGGAGTTTGCGAGCGAAAAAAATCGTCGATTGACACGGCCTGAGAGAGAGTGTATACGTTCGAAGTAGGAAGATCGAAATCGATATTCGGATATGCACCGCCACAATCGATCGCCGCGATTCTCCCTCGATTTGTGTCGCGCGTATACGGTAACACTTATCACTGCTACGTCCGCGTGTTGTATCTTATCCTTTTATCTTATATCTTTTTCTCTCCCTTTCTCTCTCTCTCTCTCCCTCCCTCTAGCTCTTTTTCACTGTCCGATGCGGCGTTCGAAGGCGTATCCGGTATTATCGCGTGTCCTCTCCTCGCCGCTTTTTTTTTCGCGCCGCTCGCCCTCGCTCCACTTTACGCGCGTCCCCCGTTATTACGCGGGCAACGGTTGGAGAAAAGCCACCGGGAGCTTTGGAGCTCCGCGACCCGCGAGGAGCTATCGTCCGGAGTTCGGCCAATATGGCGATTACACGCGCTTACACGGTGCCTTGGCCACCACTGCCTGCCCGTTTCGCGGACGATTCCAGCGACGCCGACGCGAAGCGCCGCGACGCGAAGCTACCCGGCGCGGACGTGTCTCCGCAGACCGACGCCGACGCTGTTACCATCATAGAACGCCGACGCCGACGCCAACGCCGACGCCAACGACGCCGACGCGATGGTCGAGCCATCGGCCGATGTACGAGCAACCGTCGCCGCTGTCGCCGGCGGTGCTCGTACTCGTGATCCTTGCGTGCGAATGACCCGTCGATGCTTTCGCGATTCCTCGCTATCACAGAAGCTTCGTTACGACCGTGATTCGCCACGATGAGTAATTGTATCAATGATCGCGACGACGGAAATCCGTGTGCGTGTAACTCGATTAGAATAGAGCGCGGAATAAAAGCAAGAGCATAAATCGGAAACATTACAAAATAATGCAGTGGAATGTTCTCTTAATGGTAACACTAATCCTACTAATAGTTATGATGAATTACCAATACACGGTAGACGTAATTAATTACCACGCTTTTCGCATTTCAAGCACGGAAAGTAAAACGAAAGCTGAAACAGAATATTGGTTTAGTAATAAACAAGTAGTAACGTTAAGAGACGAAAATAAAATTTTATCCTGAAAATATATTAAGAGAATCTGTTACATAAATGAACAAAATCGTTTGATAAACAGATTGCTGTAACTCTTGAAAAAACAGCTAAATTTCGGTAAAATATAATGAAATAATGAATAGAGAGAGCTTGAAAGCGCGTTCTAATTTACATGATATAACTGTTTACATTAATAATAATAACTATTTATATTAATATATTAATATATTAATATTGTAATAACTATTGTATATATAAAATGATGATCATAATCATGTTATTGCTAATTATATTATATAATTATGTATTATTATATCTTTTAAGATAAAAACCTATTGTATTTGATGATATATTCGAAATTGTCACTGTTCTTTTTTCCGTCGGAAAAAGCAAATTCTTTCGCTAGACAATCTTTGAATTTAATATCGATCCTTTATAATTTCAAACCATTATTAACGTAAACAGAAATCTTCTTAATACAGTATGGCATATTAGTGCACGCAATTGCAAAAATAGAATGTAGTCCTATTTTTAGAAATTATTTACAATTTCAATCTTGTTTCGTTTATTCAGTAAAAATCACGGTGAACATTGATGTCAAAAGTGTTAAGAGTTAAAACTATCAATTCTCGGTTGGTTGAAACTATCTTTCTCTCGGTGAACTTTGAATCTTATATAAAGCGCAGTTAATAATAGATTAATAAACAGCTAATAATAAAAGTGATATAAGAGAACTAGAAGAAAGCGAAAGCAAAACGCATTTGTGGCAACGATAATGTGAGGATATTTTTGCAAAATATGGATATAAGGCTCTTTTATAATTATAAATATCATCGCATTCTGAAAGGAGGCGCGCCTGTACGCAAAAATAAATAGAGACACGAGCATCGCCACGGGCGTCGCAGACCTATGCTTAGATTTTTATGGTAATCTCTCGTCGTGTATTTTAGGGATATTACGTTTTCGTGGCAAATCTCATTTTCCTATCCCTCTCCCACCCTCTCCCGTCCCTCCCACAACCGATGCCGTCGTCCTTGGCACATCGCCGTTTTAGCGGCTTTTAAGTTAAGTAGTTCCGCGTTTGTGGTGCGAGAGCGGAAATTTCTCTCGCGCTAAAGTACCATCTCCTCCTTCCGTCCGCGGCGCGGCGTCCGATCGATCACGCGAACGCGGCCAATACCAGACATCATCATCCCTCCGTCAGTTTTTTCTATCTCGCGTCTACGTAAGGAAGAGACGGGCGACGCGCGAGCGTAAGGGAATGTCGGAACAGGGGGTAGGGATCAATACGGCGACGTCAGGTAGTGGCCCGATGCACTCGTCGTTCCTAAATTGCGACTCGGATGCGGATGCAGATGTATCTCCCCGTTCGCTCCCGTTGAATGATCCGCGCTCGTCCGTGTACGGGGCGGCCTCCGGCTGCATGATAACGAAGTGACGGGGTGCTGGAAGTTAATTTCAGACCCGCGTCACGGAACGTTACACATGGTAACGCCGGGCGGAATGTAAATGAAGGTTGCCGGAGCGGCAGGAGCCGCTGGTACAACACCTCTCGTACTCTCGGTAGGGAACCAAGAATGCCGACCCAGAACCCAAACTGGTTCTGGGAACAGTCGGTTTGGTCGACTGCTTGCTTATCGGCTGAAGTGGGCTTCTGGTATACCAGTGCTCTTGCCTTGGATATGCTAGCTCTGCGTTTACGTATATGCCAGCGGTGTCTTCTAAAGATATAAAGCTACCGATGATATTAAAAATCTTCTATTCATACGATATGTTATAGTATCATTCGTTAATCTTGAATGGAGTGCTATTAGAAATATAAAGATTTTGATACAGTTTTCAGAATAATTTTTATTTGTATTCTTTACGAGAAAACGATACGAAACTCGATCAACATAAATCTTCTCTAGAGCCTAATCTTTGTTAGAGGCCAAATCTAATGAACAATTGTATTAGTAATATTGTTGGCATGCATTTCATCATGTTCGAAAAAATAGAAATTTGTGTAATGTCTGATAATTTGTGAGTGTCTGAAGCATTCTTTTCTTTTTTTTTACCTTTATCAAATAAGAATTTTCCTGCCAGTCTCAAAGGTCTTTGCGAATCGAATATCTTTCAACTTTCTCTTTTCGGATACTATTATGAAGTTTCAAAAAAAAAAATTTAGGGTGAAAAGGACGACATGCTAAGAAATCTACAAGCACGCATTCCTTCAAATTTTAGACCCTTCAGAAGTTCTCTGAAAAAGGATTTGAACGGTCTTCAAGGCCTCCCCTTCCTTCCAACTCTCTCTTTCTTTTTCACTACCTAATTCGCCCCTAGAGTAGAGAGCTGCTCGGCTGCGTCGTGAACACGTGTAGAGAGAGACGTATATAGCCTGTGCAGGGAGGTTCGAAGTTCGAGGCTCGAGGGCGGGTATAACTATGTCTTGTTGTGTAGGTATATGTATGTAAGACAGAGTCTACACATACACGCACAAACGGGTCTATCGTCGCCAGCTGTTGATGTGTGGTGGACTGTTGGATGTATGGTGGTGGGAGGGAGGGGAGTGGGAAACAGGCTCGACTGCTCCCCCTAATGCTGGAGGATTGAATGGGCGAGGAGGGTGGTATTGGGTTCCCTCACGCCACCACCCACACACCACTGCTCCCAACCCGCCTGAGCCACCCACTTCTGTCCGCCTGCCACCCCGCCTGCCCACCCACTCGCCACCCGACTGCCGTCGAGGAAACAACCTGCAACCGAACCAGCATAACGTTTCCTCGAACAACGATTTTCGTCAGCGTCTTGCACTTAGTCTTTGTCAGCGGCACAAACACGTAAGTAATTTTTAAGGTCTAACGTGCTTTTACATCCATGCTCCGTGCTCCTCCGTGTATCTTCACCGCGTTCGTGTGCCGTGAGAGCCGTCGTCGTGTTCGGCGTCATCATCGTCCAGCGTCAGTACGATATCACATCTCGAACAGTATCTTCACCGAGGATGTTCCTTTCGAGACGTATATATTGCTTCGCTTCTTCTAGCGGGAGTACTCCGGATTATACGTCGAAAACGAACGATCAGGGAAAAGTGCAGAGTGTGGGGCGATGAGAAAAGCGATGTGAGAAGTAATAGCAAGTGGAGAACCGAATGTGAGTGCGATTACGAATGATGACGAGCCGTGGCGCGAACGAGAGCGAGAGGAGAGGCTACCGCCGCGCGGCCGACGTATTGTGTATCGCGAATAGGCCGCACGCGAATACCCATCGAGACGCGCGGAGCGCGCGGCTATATGTGCGACGTCTCGACGTCCGTGTGTTCGTCGGTGTTTCGACGGGTAGCGCGCAGTGAGGCAGACGGAGAGAGATGCCGGGTGTCCATGTGTGCTCTGGAAGCGCGCGTGTGCGCGCGGGGGCGGCCATTCGCGGGTGCTCCGCGATATCGTACACGATGCCGAGCGCGGCCGACGGGCCGGCGGCATTCGATGCGGCTTTTCCCGCGACGTGTGCACGCGTTCACGGCAACGGGACGAGAACGAGCGCTGTTAGAATCGACGCTTTTGCGCGTTCCGCCGCGTGTAGAAACGGCGGAAAGCGGAGCGAAAAGAAGGGATCTTTCGGTTGAACACGAACAACCGTGTATGCGTGTGTTCAGTCGCATTATGTATGTGTGCACGATTGTACATGTGCATGCGCGGGCGCGGAGGAGACCTGCCTGACGTCCTTGGTTAGCCGGCATAATTTCCGGATGAATTTGAATGGAGCACTGCGCGTGTCTTCTCTCTCTCTCCCTCTCTCTCTCTTTCTCTCTTTCTCTCCCTATCTTATTTTATTTTCTCGATTATTCTCACTCTCTCGCTCGATTTCTCTCTCTCTCTCTTTCTTTCTTTCATTCCCTCTTTCTTCATCTATCTGTCTGACTCTTTCTCTCTTTCTCGGGGACTATGTCTTTGCCTTTATTCCGACCGACCATATTCCCGCCGCTGTGTCATCTCTCCTTCTTCTTCCTTCGGGCTTCTTTATTCCTTCTCTCTGCGCCATAAAGTGGAGGTTCTCAACCAGCGCCAGAAACGTGAAGCTCCACTAGTACGTTCTAGAACACCCTCTACGTTCCACCATCTGTCGTTTCTAGGGGACGTGCCCCCGATCGGTGGCGGAGGGGCATATTGATTTATTCTTCGCAGTAACCCCTTCCACGCATAGAAACGTTCTTGCTTCCCCCTCTGTGTACATATACAGATCCGATCTTGGTATATGCGCACGCACACGTAGCACGGGGTTACCAGCGGGGTTGCTCGTCTCCCCCTCTCAGTTACTCGAGCAGCAATCGTGACGATCAATACACGCTAGCTCCTTCCTCTTTCCGGATGCTGTCGCCACCCCTGCAGAACACAGTGCTAATAATTCTTTTGTATGCATCACTTGATCGAAATCAATCGAAACACGGTATTTATGAGAAAAAGCAAAAGAGATGATACCAATTGAAAAACCTCAATTTATGATAAATCCGAGAAAACACATATAAATCCATTAGAAATCCATCTGCGAGCAAAATAGAACAGTTAAAATTTGAAATACGAGAATGTACGCCTCTCTTAAATATTTCTTATTAAATTTTAACGTAATAGTAAAAATAATTATCTTGTTAAAAGTAAAGACTTAATTAAAGAGAAACAGAAAGAGGGAGATAATTTTATATATTTATTTTAATTTTGATAGAACATCATGCAAAATTTAAAAAACTTAATAATTAAGAGAGAAGTATTACTCTTTAAAGAGAAATTGCTTTTATTTATTTAAATATTATAATGCATAACAATTTTAAGAAAGTAGAAAGCTTTTTTTATACTATATGAGATTATACAGAATTTAAAAGGAACTCTCGCAGCTAATAAAATAAATTGATTAATGTAAAAAAAAACCATCTAACTACATTTGAAAACGCAGTTACGTATTACAAATGCATCATTGTATTCGTGTACAAAATTATTATTAGCGTTAACAAAAAATTAGACGTCATTCTACTTTTAAACGTTTTTCCATATCTCTCCATGCCGTATCTCTCCATTATCGATTGCAAGAGAGATATAGCCCTTTCGAATCGCGTGACTCACTTTATATATCGTCTAACTATTCTGAATCTAATCTTGCAGCAACCCGCAAAAGTCATTAAGACATCCGTTATAAAATTTTGCACATTATTCTCCTCATTCTCTCTACCACGCTTCTTCTTCGCACTTAGTTCTTATGAAACATCGCTCCGATAATTCGCTCTGAATGTATTGATTCTCCATTTATGATATAAACATTATAAACGCACGAAGGGAATTTGCTCAAATACTGTCAACAAAGCTTTTACGTTCTCATTTTCGTTTATCATTCTCTTATGACTCATCATAACGATTTTCATTTAGCCATCCACCAAACACAACGATATTAATGCTAATATCTGCACCATTATATGAAAAATATAATTTCAAATCTATATTATGAAAAATATTTTTTATTAATATATTAATGTACACAATTTTATCTATCAATTATTAAAATCTGTTGTATTAAAAATTTGTCGTAATTTTGGTAATTCTTTTATAATTGTCTTAGACGAATAAAAGAAAAGCAATTTTTTTTATCCAATTTTCTACTTTCATTTAAACACATAAAGCATCGTAAACATAATGGAAACAATGGAAAAATAATAATCAGCTTTCATTTCCATTTATAAATAATAATCAAGGTTATTTATCTAAATCAGTCTACAAATATTTAAACTTGTTATTAAGGTCATTTCTTAACGGTGAAGATGATAATAATGTAATAGAAGAAAATATTCAAAGTATTTCAAAAATTTAGAATACAACTGTCCTCGAGATAACTAACATTTTTCGTGACAATTATTCGCGAGCGCTGACTGCAATTATATGGAATCTTGAAAAATTTGTCTGTTTAATTAATATAATATTATAAAAATTATTTAGAACAAAACGCAAAAATGAAAATTTATATATTCTTCACAATTATAAAGAACCAGGGCCATTAGTCAAATGATGAAGAGCGACGGACATGTTTAAATATTGGAAAGAAAATATGCCAAACAATGGCATTTTCAACAAAATTTGGCTCATCATATGTCTATCGCGCAAAGAAATGTTTTTAATATAATCAAATAACTGCGTTACTATGGCGTTACTACGCCGAAAATTTTTCGGACTTAGTTTCAACAGAATGCGTGAGCAATTTGTAAAAGTAGATTAACATAACTTATTTTGCATATTGTACGATTAAAAAAAAACGATAACAAATTTTCGATTTTGCTTAGAATAAAAGTGCAGCTTCGATGAAAAAAATATTTTTAAAATGTATTAAAGACCTGTGAGATCTAAATAAATAAATTGTTCTGGATACTTTGTTAAAATCGTAGAATGTAGAAATAATGAATATATTTCTTGGTATTATAAACTGGCCTGTGACTGTATTGTTGTGAAATACAATAGACTTATTGTTAGCAAATTGAAAAGAGAAATTCTTTTTTCATGTTTAGGTCTTTGGTGACTCATCGAGCAGGTACCTAAACTGCGTCTGGGTCACAAAGAAAAAAGGTTTATTACTTTGCAAACTGTGACCGTTGTAGTTCCTTAAAATGGAAGGAAACGGCACGAGAATGGACTACGAAGATATGTTCAGAGAAATTACCAAAAAACTTTATGGCGAGGATCCCGATCACCGAAGTATGCTAAGATTTCATTTAAAATCTTGTAGAATAAGTTAAAAATAATTATTGTTTTACTGATTCTCTAAATATCATCAGTTATTAATTGTATTTATTAAAAAAAAGAATAAATTGTATAATATCGGGAAATTTGCAATAGAAAATAATTTAAAAATTTATTTATAATATAAATGCATGGTGAACATCTCTTTTTACTTAACACGTATACATCATAGGAATGCAATCGGAATTGTATGCCCTCCATGCAATTCATCATTCACAACTGTTCGAGATTCAAAGTAAACTCAATCTTAATTATTTAATGTTAACGTTCACCAATCAAGAAAATTCTATTTTATAATTGGCAATTTAATTAAACATTCCAAAATTGTATTTATTCTCACGTGATAATTACTGGGTTGATGCGATTTAACAAACGTGCTTCATAAAAACACGATGTGTTTCTTTCGTCATTAAACGTGAAGAGTTTAATACAATTTATCACAATTTCGTTGATGCAGCATCGAGCGTGCAGAACGAGTTCGAAGCGTCAGTTTCCTACAAAAATGACGATGATACCGGAAACGGTACTGATGGTAGTGACGATGGAAACTGGACGTACGAGGACGAACCACTTAAAGGAACCGACGGTAGTCGAATCGCAGCTTATCATGCCGGGAAAGCTATATGGCGATGCGACGAGTGTGGTAAATATACACACGGAAAAAATTGATATGAAAAAATTAATATATTACAACACTTATTCTTTATGTTTGAAAAAAAAATGCATGTGAATTTAAGTTATATTGATGTTACACAGCATACATCTGTTAAGGTATGCTCATCAGCACGGTTATCATAATCATAGTGTTTAGGATAAATAACATTCGGTTAGAATGTTATTTATATCTTTACATATGTGGTTACCTCAACCGAAGCATTAGGTATTGTTATCTCTCTAATGTGGTCTGCACATATAACAAATAATTGAGAGATATAAATGCTCTTACAATATTATACAACGAATGAAATTTAAATACTCGGGCGTATCCAGAAACATTGCATAAACCTTTCTAAAAATTTTTTTGCGAGACTAACTTGTTTACGATCTCACGCTTAAAGGTCTAGATCGATAGAGTACACAGGGTATAGTTGAGTAATTTTCTATCCAATAGTGTAAAAAGTTTAGCTGATACAAGATAAAAATAAGTTGATTAGCTGGGGTAGATAGCGAGAAAGGTCCCCTTGCTAATTACCGATCGTACCGTTTTGAACGATGACGATACATTTTTCGCTTACACTTATTTCTTCGATTTACACTGGAAAAGATAAAATACTTTGCTAAACTTTCTTGAATATTGTTATACATTTACTTTTAAAAAATAGAAAACAAGAGTAAAAATTTGTGTTTACTTGTATTGAATAAATAATATCATGTCGAATTCAGTTATAAGAAAATAGATCGAATTTGTGATAAAATGTCGATAATAATAATAATATAATATTTTAGTATATCATAAAACAGCGGACCTATTTTAATATCGTGGTCCGTAAACCTTTTGAAAAGAAATTTAATAAATTATAAATAGTTAAAAATTTATTCGCTTTATATGTTTTATCTTATTTATTTGAATGTCAAATTAGTCTTTTCGCGTTTATAGTTTGATGATTATATAGTTAAATATAACAGATATAATTTTAATTATATCAAATTATTAACTATATAATTATATAATTAATTATACTTAATTATACTTAATTGAGTTAATTATATTAATTTAATTTATATAGATTTCGAAATTAAATCGACTTTATCCATTTTAATAGGAGACATTATGTCGAGTGGTCCGCGGGAAACTGCCGAGCACTTTATGGAACTTCACCCGTCGAGAATCCTAGCCGACAGCAGTAGGAACAGGCATCACTCACCACGTAAAGATTATTTGCAAATAGATTTAAAACCCGAAGATGTAGTTATGTATTTAGAACGACTCCGTGAACGCGCCGAACGGGCGGCCCCTCCTTCCCGAAGAACCCAAGAAACGCAAACTGTACCTGCGGCTTTACTGCCGGTGACTTCGAGCTTCCTCTTGCAAGAACTGCCATCCGCTCCTGCGCCACAACATTTGCAACAGGTATCATACAATAAAATACTACTATATAATATACATACATACGTATATACATGGTCTGTCCTAAAAGCAATGAGACCATTTTTGGCGGCCCAATCAGAATCAGGGTCCATTGGACGGAGCCTTTGGTGTGGAATGTCAGGTATACAATCTGACCCTTCTTTGTCAGTTGCCACCGAGCCTTTCTAGCAGTCGAAAGAAAAATTCTGAAGACAAAGCAACGTCCCTATAAGCTGTTCTTAAACATCTTCAACGTTTCGAAACCAAATTTTTCCAGTTTCACGCAGAATTTGATGGCTGCGATTGAGACTGTGCTGTGAATTTTCGCCCAAGACACAAAAATTACAACGCATTTTGTTGACGGTATCGACTGCTAAAAAGGTTCGAAAGCAACTGAGAAGGATTAAACTGTATAGTGTATACCTGATCTCTCGCATTAAAGGCCCGGTTCAATGAATTTACTATCCGACAATTCTAATTGGGCCGACAAAAATAGTCTCATTACTTTTGGAACAGATTATATGTATGTATGTATATATGTATATATATCTGAATATGTTAAAAAAGATAAGATTATCTGAGATAAAATATTGCATCAAATGCTTACTAGCTGTCTCGTAATCTAATTTATAGTAAATTTATAGTAAAAAAATAATTTTATTCAATTCTGAAAGGATGACACTTCTAAAAAATTAATACAAGAATTTTGTTAGTTTTCAAAATGTTTAAGAAAATTAGATTAATAAAAAGACGCGAATAAAAGAAGACAATTTCTTTTTATTTGTCACTCTAATTGTAAGTTGATCGCTATAAATAAAATAAGATAGTGTAACTGTAATAAAAACATAGAAACCAATACGCATTATTGATGCAAACAGATACAATAACAATTAATTTGATACAATAATTTTAATTACATATTTCAGTTTAACTTTGACTTTACTTTCTTCAGCAATCCAAAAGAGATTTAAAAACCAATCGAAAAAAAAACAGCTTTCAATATCTTTGTTTCTCTAGACTGTATGATATATTGTTTGTATATCTTATAATATTAAAGCAGAAAAAATTTTCGCAGAACGCCACCATAATGTCTACTCCTGTTGCGGCATCCACGAGCAGTAAGCGTTATGGCTGTCCGCATTGTCCTTACGGCACTGACAGACGAGATCTTTATACACGACATGAAAATATCCATCGCGAGGAAAAACCGTTTCAATGTTACGTATGCATTAAACCGTTTAATCGCGCGGATCACGTAAAAAAGCACTTCACGAGGATGCATCGCGATCACTCATACGAAGTAACGAGGATACGGAGACACCCGGGAAGCAACGTCCCCAAGCCACTGCAGGATACGACAGCAACGACGGCAACTGTCAGCATGAGCAGCCAACAGCAACCACAGCAACAGCACTTGGGTAATCAATTCGGCTTCGCTAGCAACAAAGGCTATCAGCTACAGCCGAACGCCGCCACATCAGGTGTCAGTACTGGCACTGGCACCACCGGTCTTCATCAAGCGATAATCATGCCTTCTCCAGCGGGTATCGTGCAATCCGACACGAATAATTGTAATACAGGCAGGCGATTGCAAAACGGGGGATGCAATAGTAAGAGTCATCTCAAGGGTGGTTCCAAGAGCACGCAAGAAAAACGGTGAGTTTTACATCTATTGTAATTACTGTAAATTGTATCTTTAAGTTACATCACGTTTCATCCTACTTTTATTTAATTTATGTAATTTTTTCAAGTTATGTTTGAACCGAATTTGTGCAATTTAAAATTCTCGTGTACTTACACGTGGATAAATAAAACGTGACATTTGATAAGAAATCCTTCTGTATACATATATAGTATCGAATTTAACGAATTTAATTAGATTGAAGCTTTTTAATAAAATAAAATTTTTATTAAGATACAGTTGTCCGTACTGCCCTTGGACTGGAGTGGACAATTGGTGTCTAAAGCGACATATGAATACTCATACGAAACCCTTTGGATGCACCTTGTGCGAGTACAAAGCGGCGCGTGCCGAGCGACTTGCGACGCACGTTTTAAAAGTGCACAATAGAAGACAATGTTCGAGGTGCCCGTTTCTCGCCGACGACGCGAACCAATTGCAAATGCATCAGGTGCACGTTCATCGAGCGAGTGTGCCGTCGACATCAACCACACAAAATACAGTACCAAATAATCGTCACCAGCAACCTTTACAGTAAGGCAATCTGTAACTTTGTATTTGATATAGTGAAATATGATGAAGTCATTTGTGCATCTTATATTAGTTGGATTTGACAAAATTCAGCTAGCTGCATCAAAATAATTCTAGATGAGAAAATAATATTGATTCTAAACTCATTAAATTTTCATACAGATTTATTGTACACTCAATAGTACTAAATTTAAATTAAATTACAGTTTTAAACATATAAATATTAAAAATCGTTACTTATTTTTATTCCTTTGCTTAGAAATCGCAATGTTGCGAAGGAATTCTCCGCATAACGAAAATATTCGTAAACTTCCAAGTTCAATCTTCTTGCAGCAGTTTAGAGCACCTTCATTCTCAAGCGAATAATTTACGCGAATATTTATTGCTCATTGGATTTACAGTCCCGTGGGAGGAGGACGACCGCCACCTGGGCCACCAGTTTTTCCAGCTCCGACTCCAGCGATTGCACCTGCTACCACTGTGATACCACCGAGCACTATACTCGGGTAAGTCTCTCACGGCGTTTATCGCCGCTGCACGTGACATTCGGCTTTTTGATTTTTTATTTAATTAATTGCATTTTGTTGCATTTTCCCCATTCTTCTGATTACCATTATAATTGCGCAAAAAATGCCGCACAACATTAAACGGCAAGTTTTTCCGAATTTTACGTTTACTCATCCGGCTAATGTTGGCGCGCTTGGCGACGGGTCACGATTCCTGTACATTAACTTTTTGTCATCGATTCTGATTGTCAGTTATTGCTATTGTACGGACGATTTATGAAGCGTTCGATGATATCTTCTGTAATTGTATTTAATGCGAAATCGATATATATTGATCGTAACCCGTTCGCGATGCGGTCTAACGATTCGTCATCTCGCGTGTCATTATCCACTCCTCCTCCTATATTTTGTTACGTTCTGGCGTCATTTTTTGATTATTTTTAGTTAAAAAAAAAACGAGATCTCTATCGATCTCACATATGTCACCATGTGCACGCTTCGTTTGCTTTCGGTGTCGTAGGCCGCGCGTGCGACTCTGATTGCGTACGCGTAATTGTTGCTGGATGTGTATTCTTATCTAGTTACACAGTTTTGTTTCTCTCACGTTCGTGCTACGACGAACACTCGTACGTTGGTAGAAAAATGACGCGAACGTAACTTATGGAACAGTGCCGCGGTGGTTGCAGCCACGAGATGGTAAAGTCCCCTGCAACTGCAACGACTATGGCATATCCTACGGAGGAGGAGAAGCGGTCGCACCGTCGTATAGGCGGCACCAATGGTGACGACGACGGCGACGACGGCGACGACGACGAGGACGATGACGATATCCGAAGCAATGGTAACCGCGAGGCACGCAGTCGTGATCTCGTCATGTGTCGCTTCTGCCATTTCAAGAACGATAGGGACGATGATCTTGAGTCGTATTTGAACGATCACAATAACGGGAATAGAAATAGCTTTATCGATACGTCTAATAGTAATTTTACATGCAGTTACCAGCTGTCAATGGCGTCGCAAATCGCTGATCGACTTTCGGGATCATCACCGCCACAGGGATTCTTGAGTATGTCGGACGAAAATCAGCTGTCATTAACGTCACAAGCCGCTGATCGACTTTCGAGATCACCGTCATTACAGGGATCCCCGAGTAGGTCGGATGAAAAGGAAAATCATCAGAGGCTGCAAGAGAAACGGTCCCGAAAACAGTCCCGAAAACAGAGTTCGCCCAAACAAGTCATATGGCACCGTGATCATCGAAAGAAATATTTTATACCTGCACTAGGTTCGCAAAATGTAAGACATCAAAAGTTCAAAATTGCTAGTAAGAATGTTCAATTTCACCAGAGGTCGGCATCGCAAAAAATGTTCAAGTGTCACTTGTGTCCGAAATATGCGCCCGCACGAGGGAAAACTCATCGGCCATATCACAGCAAAGCTTCATTGACACTTCACACGCTGTGGCGACATAAACGAGGATCTTGGTCGACCAAGAATCGTGTATTTAAAAACAATTCAGCATCGACCATTTCCTCGATTACGCTTAAGGCAACGTTTTTCACTAACCCGAATTATAGATATGATAGATAACAGCAAAAGAGGCTGGAAATGGCCAAGAGTGTAAAAATTATAATTTTTAACTAATTATAAGCCTTCAAGTTAAATTTAGACAAATTATAATTTTTCATATAAAAAAAATTTGACGAACTTTAATCTATTTAATGGGCAGAATTTGAATTCGGTATATTTTCATTAAAAATGTTTTTAGTAATTTTCTCATTGGAGGAGATTAAAGTGAGAATTTTTGATTCAAACTTTTTTCATAACGCAGAAATATTTTAATTTTTTGCAAAGATAAATTTCATATTCGCATAACGTATCCATATTTGTGACATAACAGTTTACGTTAATAGTGTTTCGGAAACTTGCAGGATGAAGTCTGTGTTCTCGTGGCAAAGTAATGTAGAAACGAAGAAGCGATAGATGGTGACAGAAAGAGAAGTACGAAGTCTGTCTCATTTCCAAAACTTTATCACGAGTGATAAAATCGCTGTGAACAGTGAGTGCGTTCCTAAGAAAGATATTCTGAAAGAGATCGTATTTCTCTCATGTATAAATTAAATTAATAATTTTTAAAATAAAATACTCTTGTTACTTCTGAGACAGATATCGTACACTTGCATCTGAATTGAAAGTATTTTAACATAACGTACATACGAACATGTAAATATGTTTTTTCCACAATAGTCTTAACTGCTTCAATATTAGATAAGATATTCAGAATGATTATAAATGTTACGTAAATGATTTTTTTTAAATATCTCTGAAAGTGTATGGAACGTATACTTTTTATGTAAAAAAAATTGTTTTATAGAAATGATACGAAGCGACGCTGTTGATATTTGATGTGATAATCAATCTTATAAATTACTCACAATCAGTGTATAAATTTGTTTTCATCTACGTCGTTTATATCTTACGTCGCTTTTTTTTAAGATTTCGATTAATGGGTTATTTGAAATTTTAGAAATTGAATGATTGAATGAAATACGATTTCCGCGATTGACTATGTAGCAATTGGCCGTGATTTTTATAAAACTACAGTTTAATGTAAGACGTAAGACGTTTGTACAGAAACATCTTGTTTACGTTATTACGTAAGATATGTCTATTGTGCATGAGAATAAAAGAGATAATTCGCAAATGGAATTGCTCATCTTTTTCTCTAAATTTTTAATTTTTTTAAATAAGTTTTTTTCACACATTTCTCCAGTTTAATCAGTTTTTAAATAGTATATCTTAAGTTTAGTTTGTTAAGTATAACCAAAATATAATTATATTTCCATTTTCAATTAACGCAGTGGCGTTGAAAAGATGATTAAAGTAACAAAACGGGACATAATTTATTTCAAATAATTTCTTATCTATGATAAATAAAAATTATTGGTCGCAGGTATTGTAGCGAAAGAAATCGTTATACCGAATGTTGGTATAAAGTACACAAATGCGGGCACGTGAAGCTTTATATGTGAACCAAAGGTTGTCGCCACCACTTCTATATTTCCACACAGAAAAGCCACACTCGATTTAATGCATAACGTAGTGAGATATAATATTGCAATTTAACAACAGATTATCAAGAATCAGTTTTTATCTTAATTTTTTTTCTTGTAAAAACTACAAATTATTAGTTATTTTACATGAAACAAAAAGAAAAGAGCTGAAAGTTTTTTAATATATCGTATTTATAATTTTTTATATAACAATACAGATACGTATATTTTTAATTTTTTATTTCACGCCATTTTCATTACTTCGCAATGCAATAAGATTCGAGACGAGCATTGCGAAAATATTGCAACAATATCGGATGTTAATGAATGTTGAAACAATATTAAGGTAATAATGAGATAAAATTTTATTTAATAAAATAGAAATTTTACGAAAGAATATATATTTATATGCAGATACATTATATGCTAAAAAATTGTTAAATACAGACTAGTTATTTTTTGCATTATCATCGCGTGCATCGGGATTTATTTAATCCGCTTTTATTACACAGAATAAGCAGCTATCTTTTATCGAAAATAATTTCGCCGTTGAATGATTATCCTAACGAACCTTCCGTACAGTAACGTAAAACCTTGAGAGCACGGCTAAGAGAGAACATCGACCTAATGTCGACAGTTGATAATTGGATGAAATCTAAAACCATTCGATACCACATTCCTCGCTTTTTGTTATGGAATAACATTACTCCGAAATTATTAACAAATTATCAACAAATTTTAACAAATTTAATTCGCCAGATAAATATGACGAAAGAAATAATTATAAATGTACCTTGTATACGGGTTAGCTGCATAATGAGTTTATCGAGTTGTCTTGTAAATTGAGTCAGATGCCGCGGATTTACATAAATTGTCTATAAAAAAACATTATCTTACGTTAAGCAATTGATAATGCACGAAATTGAATCGCGTAGTTCAATATTTTGACTTTGTTTTAGATTACCAATATCTTATAATAATCTATATCGTATACTAATAAAATGGGTCTCTCCTCTTAAGAAGCTACCCAAAACATAGAAGCAAATAATGTCATGATGTCAATTCTTACATTATTTGTGACTTAGAAATGACAAATAAAGTCCTAATGACATTTTTATGATACCATATGATTTTATAATGATATTATTTTGTATTCTACGTGAATGTATGATGTTCTAAACTTCTAATAAGAAGACTCTTCGGCGTTCTCCTCTTTTCTGCGTCGAAAATAATTCCCAATATATACATATGAATTAAGCATACTCATATAAATTTCAATTATATCAAAATATGTTATGCTTGTTTCAAAGTATATTTTACATATCGTTTATTTGAAAAACAAAATGCTTTTAGCTTAATATATTGTATTTCTAAAAACATTTTAGAATTTTAATTAATTTTTGGAATATTTAAATGTGCTGAAGCTAAATATTTAACACTTTAACTACTATGGTATCCAATTAAGAATGATGCTAAATATTTAAGAGATTAAAAAAACAAAGTAATAAAATAATAAACACTATTATATTAGACAGATTTAGTAAAAATAATTAGTCTATATTTAACATTTTTTTGCGTATAATGCATCTGCATATAAATATGTTTTTTCATAAAATAAAATTATTTTATTTTTTATCTTTCCACTTATATTTGTTTAACATTAGACACAAAAAAAATTATTTCGGTTCAGTGAGTTTTATTTATTCTATTTGAAATTATATTATTAATAATGTATATTATATGTAATATACATATATAGTATAATAATGTATATTATATATATTATATAATAACGTTTAGATAATATATATTATTATATTAACATTTTTAATATTTATTTATTTATTACTGATTAATTTTTTGTGTAGACTTCATCTCACCGATTTCGTGATGTAATGCTAGTGAGACATCTAACGGAGAGATATGGAATAATCAGTGATGAAAGTCATTAATCAATATCCATCTTTTTTTAATGCATTCGGTATCTGAGGATTCCGTAAAGATCGAAAATCAGAACGCAGCTATGATGAAGGATCGACCGCGAAACATGGAAAAAGCAACTTTGACGAGCAGGACTTCACGTCAACATGGTGGAAATCGCGTTCCATCGAGTCGGGCACGAAGCGAGTTAATCGCCGGAGTAAATCAGGTTAAAAAAGTCACGTAAACTCGCGTTTTGCTCGGATAAAGTACACAAATATTCGTATCATTCGTTTTACGTGAAAGTTTTGGATTCGTTACAAAAATGCAATCGATAGATGTAGCAGATTTACTTTCGTCCATGTAAATATTACAAGTCGTATTTAGTACAACGTAATCGCGGTGTTACATACTTCTAGCATTTTTTAAATGTCATTATACATATGTATATACATAAGTACATATAAACGTATATATGTATATACACGAAAAAATACTTAAATTTTTTACGTTCTTGTATAAATTGTATGAAGTAATTATATGAGTATGGACAACATTTCATTTAGTTCAATGATCAAGTCCAATTAGCTTTATCGATCTACAATGTTTGATTATTAGTATATATTATGTGCACAAACACAAACACACACACACACACGCACACGCACACGCACACGCACACACACACACACACACACACACACACACACACACACACACACACACACACACACACACACACACACACACACACACACACACACACACACACACACACACACACACACACACACACACAGAAAATAACTATAATTAGTATAGTAAATTGAAAATAAATTAGAATAATTAGTATAACGATACAATTAATTATTCGTCACTGGACTGATTAATTCAACAAAATGTGCAATGATACATCGAATTTCGTCACGTATTCGTCGTATACGGCTTAGTAGATATACAATACGTAATCCGCACATTTTCCAAAGTATATACATCTATATATTTTATATAGCGTTCATTCAGTTGGATTATAAGGTGGATAGGTGTAGAGTTAAGATACCATCGTCGTGACCTTGTTTCATCGCGCAACTGACCCTGGACGTGGTAAACCGATAGGTAAATAAATTAAGCATTTTTATCGCTCGCGCGAAAAAAGGCCGTGCGCACAAGTATGTTCGTGAGAAAAAAGCGAGACATTTACACGACATGTTGAAACGCAAAAAATAAGAAACGGGCGTGCACGCTAAACGTTACGGTTTGCATCACGTTCCGTTGCACGTCGATAATCAAACATTTGTTCATTCATGAGAACAACAGTAAAATATTCCCACGCTATTCATAATCTATGAGATTAACGCGCATCGTTGCGCATTTTCTTCTCGGTTAACTTTTACCGATATTTAAATGCGATTATGAGCACATTATTCAATTCGTTTAATCGCGATTTAGTCGCTCTATAGAAACTATCAAAGCATAAGCGCGAAATAGAAAATCGATTAAATTATAATATTCCAGTAATTAGATATTAATGACAATAAATAGCTATTACAATGTATTTTATGCATATAGAGAGCATCGTATAATTTTTACGAAATCTATAATATTTGATTTTGATAAAAATCCATACAATTGGATATATTGCAGAAAATTATATCTCTTTCTCAACAATTTTTCTCGATTGAGATACTATTATGCTTTGCCATTTACGCTTTATACACAAACAAATATTTCACTCTTTCGACATCGGATTCATTGTTACCAGCATGTATATAGACGTTCGGATCAAAACGAATCTGTTTCACGATAAAATATTGGCAATTTACTTCATTTTTGCGCTTATTTGCTCGCAATATCCATTTGCGTATGACAAATAGTGCATTAATCGATTGATAAATCTGCCGTCCGCGTCTCTCTAATTTGTCATCGTAGCGGACGGAGATAGAGAATCGCGCGCTGTCAAAATCATGTAATGCGTTTTAATTGCATGCGTTTAACCGATCATTAAAAAACTCGCGCTTTCGAACGTCTTACGATCGCTGTTCAGCGTTTCCAACATCATGTTCAACATCTCGCTAAAACTGACCCACTTCAACTTTAAAGCAGGCTCAGGTCACCTGCACGTATAACGGAGTTGCGCACCTTCGAGCACATAATTAATCGCTTCCCACCCAGCAAATGAAAGGCAGCCGGGTCACGAGAGGGCCATTTTGGCCTTCTTTTTTTTCTCTCTCCACTTCATGCTCGCGCGTCGCAATGCCGACGCGATACAGCGCAGATTTTCCCGGGTGATATTCCGCGGTGCTGCTCGCGGCAGTCGATTGCAACAGTGATAAATAATTACCTCGGTAATCGCGCGATCGGTTTGAAACACGCGCATGCCAGCACAGCGTTCGAGTATGTTCGTGATTTTCTCGGGGATTCCGCGCGTTCTAGCGTGTGCCAACAGAGGATTAATCAAGTACATGTCACTGAGAAAGTTTTTCACTTTCCTCCTTTTATCTCTGCGAACTTCATACGTACATCAACTAATCGAATTTCACACTTTCGCGTTAAAAAAACGTGATTACAATTGCAACGAATTAATTTTCGTGTAAAAATAATGAATCTCCTTTTTAGCAATTCCTTTTCTCCCTTTTCCATTTTCGTTCACCCTTTTCTCTTTTAGGAGAAAATTACACGATCGATTCATCCGTGCGACAACGCTCGCTTTTCCGCAATCGAGTCGTGATGGGACGT